CTTATTGGCCCGTTTAGCCGGGACAGGAAGGTGCACTTTGGAGCCAATAAAGAACGGCTAATCATGCCAAAATAGGCCATCTGATTAAAAAAAAAAAAACAGGTTAACACAGTGTCTACCTGGGATAACAAAGTTTATGGCCAGATGGTGTAAGTTTTACTTTGCTAAATAAGAGAAATACCACCACCTGAAAATGTATTTTGACATCTTAAAATAAGGAAAGTCTGACAAACTTTATGGGTCAATATGAGATATTTCACAAGATTTCGGGTATATTAAAATGCGACCAGAGGTTTTATACAACTTTTTTGAAACGTTTGAGCCAATCAAAACCCTGAAATTTTCGAAAAGCCCAGTTTTAAGGGCAAAGGGACAAAACGCATAAAAACATATGCCCTGTGGAAAATATCCTTGCATGTACCGACACAGTCGAAGTAAGAGCGCTTGTGCAACTCACCGTGGAGTGCTTCCAGTACAGGATGATCTCGGGAATGCCCTCGGTCTTCTCCACGGTGGGGTACTTGCTCCATTCTTTACTGCTGATGGTTATGATGCCGTTCTTGTCCATGCTAAAAGACAAATGAGCACATTCAACTCCTTGATCTGTACAAACACACACACACACAATTTGAGAGTCCATTCAGCTACCTCTTAAGGGCTTTCTCGGCGAGGTGATGGGAAATGTGCACGCCGATGTCTTGGAGAGCCTGGATGAATTCCTTGCTGTCCACTCGGCCTTGAAAAAAATGAAAATGGGTTTAATACAAAGCCAGTTGGAGTCGGGGTTCTCGGGGGAAATGTGAGACACTCACCTGCATTCCTCTTGTCCAGGGGCTTTAGCACCAGCTTCAGATCCTTCTCGTAGTCCTGCAAGTAGTGCACAAATTCCTCAAAATCCAGCTGGTCGTCAGACATCTTGGCGTCCCTCTCTTGGGTTTTCTGCAGGTCACACACAGACAGATGGAATGGATGTTGGTGTTTCTAATATCCATTTAAAGTCCAGTGTTGCCACCGTGACCCATTTATCCGGCCTCGAGTGACACGATGACTGCTCTATCTTTGACCTGAGAGCCGCAGAGGTCCGCCGCCAACACCGGTAATCCCGTCTCAAACTAAATCGAGAGCAGGTCGCTGTCCCTTTGACGCAATATCACACCCGACCCGGCCCGACTTGTCAGGCAGTAATCGCACGCACGCAGAGGGAGGATGAATGTCAACTTTTAAGCATGAAAATCAGCTGCTAACAAAATCCTTCTTGCAATGGGAAAATTTTCCCCAACAATTTTCCTTGGTATGCAAATTACAGGGAAATGCAGCTTTTTAAGGTGCGGCAGGACGTTCATTTTCATTAACCTAAAACCACATCACAAACTATACATACACCAACTTAAGACTTTATTTTGCTTACATTTCTTGCTCGAATCTATTTGAAAGGCGCTCCGTGACGTCACAAATGCAATGAATGAGAAGGCGGCTTCCACGGAAGGGTGGACGCTCCCGCCCTACGTTATTTAAAGAAAAAAAGCGTTTGAACGGGGCGGATAGTCATTATATCTGCACTGTACACGTATATAAACATTTTCTAAAACTTTTAAATTGTTAAAATTAGGATTTGTGAAGATGTGGGGGGGCAACGACAACGTCGTGGCACCTGGAGCACGGCGAGCTTCGCGGCCTAGTCGTAAGGCTTCAGCTATTTCAGCTATGCTAAACCGGCCGGCGCCCAGAGTCCCAGACACAATCCATGAAAGGACGAAGCACGAAGTGGCTAGTCAGTATTATCACAAGCGCCGCTATGCGTAAATATTTACACGGTTTATTTCTTACTTTTCGCCATCTTTGGTAGGTTGAAAACTCCTGGGACGGCAGAAACACGCTCAGTTTGTTGAAGAGCGAATTGAGTTCGGTCGGAAGTCCGTTCGACTCGAAGTAGTCCACTTCCACCGGGTCGGAGTTGGATACGGGGACGTAAAGGCACAGGGCAAGCATGTTGGGTTCCTTCAATTGCAAAGTGAGCTACAATAAATAAATTAAATAGAGGAGAGATAGCTACTCCTTCCCGGTGGACGACCGAAATGCCGGTGAGTCACAAGACGCCGGCTTCATGAGAATTTCGTAATGCCCCGCCCCTTAGCGTAATAGTGGCAAGTCATTGGCTGTCTCGGCACTTCTCACCACCCGGCATCGAAGTCTTTTTACCATTGGGCCAATCGGCAGGCTTGCTCATTGACTGGCTTGGATTGGTCCCGCCTTAAAAGTTGCGTAAGGATTGGCGTTTTGTAGACCAATCCTGTACTCGCTTCTGGTCTGGTCAACGTGTCAACGATGAACCAATTAGGTGTGTCCTTTCATTCAAAGACTGCCAGAAGCTCCCTCAGCTGACACAGGCCCCAAAGAAAAATACTAATTAATCAATGGAGGGCCAATAAAGGTACAATGATGAAAATCGCTACACGAAAACAAGAAACAAAAGATGGCTATGAGAAAACGGCTGCAATTTTTCTGCACTCTCTTTTTTTTTTTATTTCAACAGTGATATTTAGTCTTGCACAACTTTACATATTGTGGCAACGTTTGTTAGTTGTGCACTATTGTTTAAAGAAACGATTAGTGACCAGGGAAAACGTCTTCTCTTGTATTACTAGGGGATTCAAATGAAACTCAAAACAAAGCACAACAATAAAGAAAACAACGTGATTTTGCAATTCAGTCATCAGTCATATTTTCCGGAGTCACCCATATTTTAAGATTCTGCAGGGTTAATCAGACTAATGAGAACACGCCCAAGTCCAGTTCTCATAATCCCCTCTCTTATCTCAGCAATTCTGTCCTTGTCTCACTCTGGAGTTGTCAACTGATTTAACTGTGTGCGCCGTGTTATGTCACTTGGTCTTGTGTCCGCATCATGTCTTAATGCCTTGATGTGGAAGGAGAAACAGGTTGAACTCCAAATGCCAGAAAAAGAAAGAGAGCAAAGTTGTTCACATTTGGTGGAGACTGTTTTCTATTCAACGGTAACATATTTGACTAACCACATGAAACAGCAGCCCCAGGGCGGTTTGCTGTTTTCATCCGATTTTTCTTTTGTACATTTAATTAATTAAAAGAATATGTGGTAAACGTACATTCTATTTAATGGCCTTGTACTTGGGTCAAAGGTATCAATCTCCGAGAGGTTCCTAATTCATCAGAGATGTGTTGTCTTGCCTCACAGTAACCGTTTTGTTGTTGACGTTTCATTTGCGTCACACCACTGCAGTGGTCGCACTTTAACCTGCAGAGCCGCACAAACACCCCTGTACAGGTGAGGGCAGATGGTGGGGGCAGCATTTGACAGCAGGCTAGTTTGTTTTGACGCACAAAATGACACTTTAGGATGTTTTTGTACTGGTTCATCCCGAGACAAGAAGTCAACAACAAGGTGTTCTAGTGACCAACACGAAGTAATGAATGACAACGTCCATAAATGTTTAGATACAGACAGTACATACTGTATGTGCTTTTCAGCCATCATATAAGAGAATTAGCATTTACTCCTGTAATGGGGCGACACGGTGGACAACTCTGGGATTCCGCACCCAAAAATGAGAAAATAAAACGAGGCAGCATTATATGTATATTAAAAAAAAGCTTTATATGTTTCGCTAGGTAGTCTAAATATGATAAATCGTACACTGTATAAATAGGATACTATACTATATCCACTGAATGTGAACAAAAAGCAGCAAGAAAACAGCAGTGCTGCGTCGCAAAAAACAATTATACATGCAACTACTGTAATCATCAGAATATATTTTGGGATGTTTGAATAACAATATGGGTATCAATAGTCTGGTCTATGAAGCACCAGCAATATTAAGACAAGTAAACAGAATCCTATAATGTACACGTGAATGTACCACAAGAGTGGTCAACAAAAAATTATTTAGGTTAAAAAAAAAAGTGTCAGTACATGAGATGAGATGACAGTCTTAACATGGAAGCAAATCGAAAATTGCATTTACAATATGTTCTATGCCTCCCCCCCACTCCCACTCGTCTAAACACAGTACAGTGTTCTGATTAATATTGGGTTTGTAGAATAAGAATTAAGCAGATCCATTTTGAGGCGTCCAAGGGAGCCAACATTTTAAGATATCATGAAAAAGCAGGAAGAATAATCAGCAACACTTACGACCCCTACATGCCACTGAAATCACCACACGAGAGATACCATCTTCTTCCAGGGTACGACCAAAGATCATGTGGTCATACGCTTCAAAAGCTTTCCTTCCCTGACCGGGAATCGAACCCGGGCCGCGGCGGTGAGAGCGCCGAATCCTAGCCACTAGACCACCAGGGATGTGCGACGTGCTGGGCAGTGTTAAAACAGGTCTATGAGGCAGTCCGGGTTTCAGCTGACAATTTAGGTTTTATAATGGTGACCTCAGGCCACAATTAGGGTTTCAAGTAAATAATCAAGACAGGATTCAGATATTAAGCAAACGTGTAGGCTCCAAACTCTGGTTCCAAGACATTTTCGAAGGATTTCTAACAAAGGCAAATGTTTTAAATTGGGGTGTCAAACTGGGGTTAAGTTTGAAGTCACTTTGAGGGTTTTAATTTAATTTAAGTAATTTGGGGTAATGTTTAAAATTGGGAATTCAATGTAAAGACGAAGGTTTATGTATCGCGCCGAACTGTTTGTATTCGTATGGCTTGTTCAAAATAGCACATGCGGGTGTCAGCCACTAAAGGGCGCTGTTTTAGCGCTTTGAGGCCGCGCTTTGATTGAGAGATTCTGTTGCCTTTGATTTGTCAGTTCCTGGGAACCTTCAAAATCAAGTCAGGAAGGGTTACGACATAAATACACGGAAATTGTGTCATTTGTCCATAAAAAAATAAAAGTTACGAGATTCGACAACTGCTATGTGTCTTTGTAAGAATTAAAATGAATGTGATTTCAGAGCAACGACACATCTATGTGTGATTATTTGTAATTTAAAGGCGACGTTCATGTTCATTGTGTGGGTCTGACTAACACTTTTCTTGTTTTGAAAGCAAAACCGGAATGCGAGTCATTTGCTGTGTTAGCCTGATCCGAGACCCCGCTGGCTGGATTAATCCTGTTCGCAGTGTGGAAAAAGTGCTGTTTTGTATCATTTGTTTGGGAGAATCGTTGCGGCGAGCAGAAATGTCTCCAGGTGGGCCTTCCCGCCTCACTTTTTTTTTAACAAGCCTATCAAAATATTGTGTCTCCTTAAGTGCCAAATGTCGACTTGAGCACGGTCTTTTCTTTTTCTTTCTCCAGATTTCTGCATCGAATCGCCGCCGGGGAGCACGACGAAAGAAGAGGAGCGGGCTGCTTCTCGCCCAAAGCTGGAATAAGACGCCACCATTAAATTCTCTTCCGGAGTGCTTTTGTTGTGTTGAGGGCTTTTCACGCGACCCAAGTGTCGACAGAAGAGAGCAGTGGAATGGCGTTCTTCGCGAAAAAGAAGAAATTCAAGTTCCAGACTCATCTGACGCTGGAGGAGCTGAGCGCTGTGCCGTTCGTCAACGGGGTTCTCTTCTGCAAAGTTCGCCTGCTGGACGGAGACTTCGTCGCTTCCTCCTCCAGGTCACTTTTTTAACACCAAATGTGGTCCAAACGCAAGTTTTTGAATGTCTTTTTCAACAGACACAAACAATGAATTCATCTCTTTTACAAAAAAAAAAAAAAAATAACAATCATATTTAGGATACAGACATTTTCCCCCCTCTCGCTTGAGGTTAAGCAACGATTAAGGCAAATTTGTGAGACTGGTTAGCACGCCCGTCTTACAGTGCCGAGGTCGTGGGTTCGAATCCGGCCTGCGGCCTTCTTGTGTGGAATAATTTGCATGTTCTCCCCGTGCAAGCGTGGGTTTTCTCCCGGTACTCTCCGCGACCCTTGTCAGAATAAGTCAACTCAACTCTCCGTGACCCTTGTCAGCATAAGTGGATCAGATCATGGATTGATGGATGAATGAAGGCAAATGAACCACAAATTAATATGAAAGGCAGTTTTTTTAATCGACTTCAATTACTGTTGTTAATTTGGGAAACGTTTTGACTGGCGGTCTTTGAAACGTTCATTACAACAGCTTCGCAAAATGCCACCAAACAAGTGTGGGTTAACCAGAAGTCAAAATTCACTAAAGGGAAGTCACATCAAAAACGTTCTTCTCGTTAAGATGTTCTACGCGGACCCGCTCATCCAACCATGGTATTCTGATTAATCCTTTGTTTGTGGAATATGAATTTAGCTGCAAAATGCCCAATTTCCTATCCATGGCAGGGGCAGCCATTTTGTTACTTCCTCAGGTGACGACCACTCAGGGCTCACCTGTTTTGTGAGTTTGATCGTGTGAAGTTTGCAAGCTGAGCTAAAAGGAACCCAAGTGGAGCCTTTTGCCATTTGAAAATGGGATTCTACTTCACCGTGATGTCGATTTGAATTCCATGAGTTGTTCAGCTCTAGTTTCAGGCCAGGGTTAGGATTTCAAAGGAAGGTTTCAAGGTGGAAACGGGTTTCCAATGAGTACTGAGCTTTGGAAGTCAGTTTTTAAGACAGCACTAGGGTTTCAAACTGGGGTTTTCAGTTGGGCTTAAGGTTTCAAACAATGATTGGATTTTCAAATGAGGGTTTCAACCCTGTATCTGGGTTTCGAGCCAGGGTTCTGGTTTCAAATGAGGGTTTTGTAGTCAGGGTTCAGGTTTCACACATGGGCTAGGTTTTTCAAATGAGGGTTTTGACCCCGTGTTCAGGTTCCAGATTCGGATGATTTCAAACCATGGTTGGCGTTTCAAACAAGAGTCAGGCCTTCCAAATAGTGTTCCAACTCGGGGATAGGCTGTTCAAGAAGGGTCCCAAGCCAGGGCGAAAGTTTGAAGATGGGGTTGGGGGTGCTTCATGACCAACATGACGAATGCCAGAATTTGTGTTTGTCTTGCCACATAGAGTAACGTGTCCTGCGCCGTCCTTCGATTTGTTCCTCAGCAGTGACCAATCGAAAGACGGCGCCCTCCTACTTATGACGAGAGACGAGACGTGGCGGGCGCAAACAAACAAAATGGCGACAAAAGGAATGCCCGTTACTTCAGCTGCTCTCCCGCGGAGCTACGATACGTACACTATCGGGGAATATCGGAAAACTAAGTATACGCAGCGTTTCGCTCATGTTTGTGTGTGTCAGTGTGTGTATAGTGCAATGTTTTCAATCACGTTTCAATCACGTTAGGATGCTGCTTTTATTTGAGAACTTCTGTTGTTAGAGCTGATTTCCGCTGCCTGGGTCGGATTTTATTTGCCCAACCGAGACCCCTTCAATCCCCCCTGACTGCGCCGCCACCTTCCTGGATGTTACATAACCGGCCCCACGTTATCATATCCACCCATTGGAACAATTCGCTCTCTCTTTCTCTCCCCGCTTCTCTCGTCCAATCGGATTAGCGTTATGTCACCCATGTGACAATGCGTGTCTTTGTACAAACCACCACCACCACCGTTCCCTCCCGCTGCCACATGCCACAAATGTGACCATGTGGTCCCGGGGGCGCTGGCCTCCAGTCCGCTGGACTTTATGACATCATCGTTTCGTCGCTTGCAGGCAGGGGCACGCCGATGCAACATCTGCCAGTCAAATAGCCGCTTGGTATGCCCTTTGCAGACGCCGTCAGCCAAATAACAGACACAGACGCCCCTTCCAGCGGGCCCATGTCAATCGGTCATGGCCGCTGGCTGACATGCGGTAGCTGTCAATCAAACACGGACAGTCAACCCCCGCCCAAACCGCTGAGACAGGATCTGTCAATTGATCATGGGCGTGCAGAAACTGACCGTCAAACCTCACCGTTGGCACACAGGTACCGCCCATCAATCAAACACTGGCACTGAAAACTCTTCGTTACGTGTCAATCAATCGTAGATACTGACACGCCCACAAAGTAGCTGTCAATCAATGGGAGCTACGGACAGCAGGCCCATGCAGCACCTGTCAATCAAATATGGACACTTCGACACCTTCCATCATGCTCATTGATCTAGATTTTTTTTTTTTTTTTTGTGGTTGATATTTGGCAGAGTAGAAGTTCAGTGACTGATTAATCAGCCAATTATTCCAAAAAAAATTATTACATTATGTTTACTACAACGAAGATATGCATGACAGGCATCTGATTTGACTGGTTTCATGATACTTTAGTAGTATTTGTTTCACGTTACATCAGAGAGAAGAATCAACCGATTTTTTTGGGGGGGGGTGTAATTATCTTTGTCTTCTGTTGTAATGTGTTGGCGTATTTAAAAAAAAAAAAAAAAAAGGATATTTCAAAAAAATCTGTAAGAAAAAAATTTGGGGCAGATTTTTCAAAGCGCTAATATGATGAAATCGGTCCGGTCAATTCATTGGTCGGAACGATCACGTCCACACGTATTTACCAACGGCTGTCAGTCGAGCCCGGCGAGCCCGGCCGCGTCCGCGGCCCTTCTCCAGTATTTGCCCGTCAAACATGGCAAGAGAAACACGCCCCTGCTGCCTCTGTCAGTCAAACACAGAGACGCCCCCTCAGCTGGAAACGAGACAGCAGAAGACAAAAATGTACTCCTCGCTCACGGAACCATTTTAACTCGTTCGCTGCCAGCCCCCTTTCAGTCCTTTTCTTTACGACGTGGAGAAAAATGTCATCAAATAAATATCTGGAATGGATTCCCAAAGGACATGAACAGATCTCATTGGCAGTTATTAATAAGCGCATCCTTCCGAACGAGGTGAAAGTTTTGATCGTGTTTTTTCTCAACCTGAACGCTGCTGTGATTGAGAACAGCTGCGCGGGATTCAGAGGAAAAAAAAACAAAACCTCATCTCGCAGTTCCGACGAGCAGCCAGCTTGAAAGGCTTTCTTAGTGGAATGTTTGGAAACTTGACACGGTCGAAATGTGGAACAGGTTGCCGATTTGTAAATGTCCCGCTGGTGTACGTCTTCCATGCGAGTGCGTTTTGTCGGGCGATGGCCACACATCACATGTCGCTGCGGATTAAAGACCGACGAGCATTTTTGGGGCGAAGAGAGGCTCGAATGTGATTGCGTGCAGCTGCGGCGGCGGCAGCGGCCTCGTCATGCGCTCCTTTGGCAGCGTCTTCTTGTTCTCCTCTCGAGTTCAGACTTTCTCGCCGTTGCCATGTGGCCATTTTTCACTCCCAAACGTTTGAGGACTCCATCCCGGCCGACTTTGCCGAGAGATCAGATGTTCGCAAAGCAAAGGCGAGCACCGAAGGGGATTTTCCGGAGCCCCGTGAGCTCATTCAAATGAGTTTGATCGGCGAAAAACAGCACATGTGTTTTGAGGAGAGAGTGGAATCTTGTCTAGAGGGCAAGGATGTCTTTCAGAAAAAAACGCCAGCTACCCGGACCCGTATAAATGTCCCGGAGAGATGTTTGATGTCGCGTCACGCTCATGAAGCCAATGGCTAACCCCATGTAAAACAATAAAAAAAAAAGGCACCTGCATTTTTCAGTTGCCATCAAAAGCCCCTTCTGACTTTTGGGTTTGTTTCATTGTTTGAGGTGTCACAAAAGCAAAAAGTAGCATCCAAGTCACTGTTCTTTTTTTTTTTTAAGCACAAAAGCTTGTTTTCTCTGCTCTTTGGTCAGAAACTGAAACCGAAGAACAGAAAAACGTGAACATTTTGTTTGTTTTTTTTCCCTGAAAGAACTTTTGTGACGTGAATATATCCTGTGCGTTTTGAAAGAGCCCTCAAAATGCTGATGTGAGGAATGACCCAAAGTAGCGAGGAAGGCATATCAGTGTCATTCACAAAAAGGAAATTCAAGTTATGTCACAGGATGAAGGATTTCACAAGAGGTGTCAAAATGAGTTGATGACAAATTGATGAAAAATCAATCGACAACTCTTTTGATAAGTGATTCATCGTTGAGCGCATTTCTGGAACTTTAACGTGTCCAAATCCGATTTCATCCTTTCAACAGTAATGAATCCGATTTCTGTTGTTGAAGTCTTTCGTGAAAGCAAGCTCATTTGCATTTTGTGTTTTCATCAAAACCTTCGAATAACATTGATGCCTCTTTTCTGACATCTCTCGTCGCATACCAAATTAGTAAACCTTTGCAGAAATCAATACCCGAGAAGTAGCTCGCACGTTGGGTTTTGTTTCAGAATCAAATAACAAATCAGTTAATAATCAGTCATTGGGGGAAATAGCGAATCACAAAGCATTAAATCGGTTGGGATCTAATTTTTCCTCATATATTTGAAGGCTTTGAATGGTCTTGAATGTGAATGGTTGTTGGCAGCCTCAGACAGGATGGCGACCAGTCCAGGGTGGACCCTGCCCCTCTCTCCCGATATCAGTGACTCTTGAGACGATAAACCATATAGAAAATGGATGGATGGCGCACATGCGAGTTTGAACGGCAGGGAAGTCCGCAGATGAGCGAGAGGTTAGCCCAGAGCGGCGACTTTTCAACAGCTGTTTCCTGTTTTCCGCTTGATTTGCGCTTCATTTGCATACTGTGTGTGTGTGTGTGTGTGTGTGTGTGTGTGTCTCTCTCTCTCCGCGGGCTCTCGCTGGTTACACAGTGAAGAAACATCTTGAATCGTTCTCGTGTTCAATGGTTGAAATGTTCTGAAGTGCGATGAAAACGCATCCTAGTGGCGGGAGATGTCATTGCACTTCCTTTCCGAACAAAATCAAAGATCGACATCCAACAAAATGTACGTGACCACGAAAAAAAAAAGTTAAATTATTACAAAAATAGTAATTAAAAAAAATTACTCAATGAAAAATGCAGTTTGGACTGATGCAAAAGACGAATAAATTATTTGATGGAAAAAAAATACAGCAATATTACAAGGGAAAAAAAGCTAGACAAAAACATTTAAAAAAATACATAAATACCCTTCAAATATGCAAAAGTGGGACTACAATCTATCTTTGAGCTTTGTGTTCCCCAGCATGGGGGAAAAAAAGGTCCAGTTTGTTTCCCAGCCAAACATTTCCAAACTTGCTTTTTCTTTTTTTTGGCGGGCACGCTCGGTTTGACCCGAAGCGCCACCCCTCGGCCCGGTCTTGACGTCACGTCGGCGTCTGCTTCCTCAGCACCGCTTTATCTGACGTTCCTTCTCATGACCCGGCCCGGAACGTGGCGTGTTTGTGTTTCTCGTCAGCAGGCCTCGCTGTCGCCGATAACGGCCTGTGTCCACATTGGTGGGTGGGTCTCTGTTTTAACCCAAGCCGAAATAGATAACGTGCTCTAGAAGTGCGCCCCATTGACCATTATTAAAATCTGATTGAACTTTTGCTTTTTGTCTTATTTCTCTGTTCAACACAATGCAGATTCCCTTTCCCCAAATTTTTGTTGCGCTGGTACTCATTTTTGGCAGCGGTGATTGACGGTTGCGCTCACAAGGCCCACTTCCCGCTTGAAACGGATTGGCGGGCGCATCCTGGACTGCTTGAATGCGGTTCCCTTTTGCGGCAGTTTGTGGGAAGGAAAAACAAACCTTCCACTTGATGAATTTGGTGACGTTGTCATTTGAGGAACACGTGTTTAGAAAGAAGTGCGGAAGGCTAGGAGAGCGAGAAGCTTGACCTTCCAAACAAACCGGAGGGAAGTGAGCTGCGGACTTAGTGAGCGTCACGCTGCCGACGTCTCCGCGGAGACCCGACAAAGCTTGACGCTCCTGTGGAATGCCGCTCTGACTCTTGACTCTCTCTGCTCGACCACCCGAGTCGCTCCTGATAACACCCGGAAGCTTCCCTTGAGCTCGTGCGATTCTTGATTCAGCGACTCTTTGATATACGGTCATGAGGAGCTACGATACCATCGTGTGATGTCATAATGTCATATGATTAGATCAAATAAAATGTGTGACACCGTTTTGGACACGTTTTGTTCTCATCAATTCGGTGGACGTCATGCTGTTGTCTTTTGGAGTGTGTACCTTGAGGGGGGGGGGGGTATACCACAGACCCCTGGAAGGCAGTACCGTATATGCTCCACCAAACCCGCGGCTGGCGAAGAGTTGCTTGAAATTCACAAAATAAAAGCTCTCATTTGGCCCCTGGTGAAAAAAATAATTGCCCACTCCCGCTCTGCACTTTTGCAAGGCAGTAGTCGTCGTTCTTTGCAGAGGATAAAGAATATACGCCTAGGGGTATTGGTCTCTGTTGAAGTGCTCGGTAGCCAGGCTATTGTGTTTTTGATTTGTTTGCTAGCAGAGGTCAAAGTTGTGTTTTTGTTTAAAATAAGGCCGCGACCGATGATTATACCATCTGGAGTTTTGCTGATGAAACACCAATATCATGTTACTTACTCTCTATATCATTTTCTATATAACCCCCCCCCCCCCCACTCCCATGGAGAATGTTGCCCACAGCAGGATGTCGAAAGCGTGGAGACAAGCGAGCAAGTGGTAAAAATCACAGGCTTAGTTGCCGGGGCCATGTTGAACAATGGCAGTGGCAGACGGGGGAGGGGCGAGTGGGAGAAGCAGCTGCCGCGAACAGTGCACACCGCATCTATGCGTGCGTGCGTGTGTGTGTTTCGTATTCGAGTCGTGTCCATGCCTTCAACTACGAGGTGGTCACCATGGGGACGCCGTGCCTCTTAGCAGCTCTTCCTTGTGATTCAAATGTCTTGCCGATTAGAGTGATCGCGAGGGTAAACGCTCCATCGCCTCTTCGAGATAGCGAGGAGCAACGTGACAAGATTTCCCCAAAATGCCGAGTTTGGTTAGAATGGCCACTTCAGTCTGAGTGCATCACGCGAAGAATTTTTGGCAACGAGACGATTGGTTCATGAACGTTACTACAGGTGCTCTGTCCCAGTCTCGTTCACGAGGGCGTCGCCATTGACGCAAGCCGAAGGGAACCGCGTTGACCTGTTTTGAGAAATGCAGACGTTGGTTGCGCATCACTTCCATAGCTCGAGTTGAGTCGGGAGCTTTTCCTGAGTAGAGCTCGCTACTGCCCGGCGCCTACTGGAATAATGTTTTACTACATTGAAGTCATTCTGGAAAAAAAAAAAAAAAATCCCAACTTGCTTTTCAGTAATACACTTTTGTCCAATGAAAAAAAAAGCTATTTAAGATGGTTTAAAATGTGCTATAACGGCTTTGCAAAAGGTGAAGCGCGATGTCGGGGAGGTTGACTGTACTTGCGTGCCCGTAGAAGCAAATGACAGGACTCTTTAATGACATGACATTTCGCAATGGCCCTTAATCAGCGTGTTGCCTTTCCAACAAAACTTGTCGTCATTTCCAGAAAATTGCCTCCTTCGTGTTTTCCTCGTTTAGCGTTTCGAGACGGCGGTAATTATCCCCGAAATAACAGGACAGAGTGCTTGCAGCTGTCTGGTCCACTTGATGAACTTTCCTCGGGAAAGGTTGCGTCCATTCGTGTGCCCCGGCAATGCAATTTGATCAAACTCTGGCCCTGTAGGGTCAACTGATGAGCTCTTACAGCAACTCAATGGCTGCTTCCAACCCCAAATGGCAGGCTTCTACAGACTTTCTTGCCGGTCTGCTCCTGATAGGAGACCGAGTGAAAACTGTCTCCCTTTTACAGAACCGCTCCAAGTACCCCCTAAAATGGAGGACTTGAAACCAAAATGGCAGACTGCTTGTGTCTTGTCTGGTAGGGCTTCTTGAGACTTCTTTGTGGGTCTCCTCGCGATCCATATGTTCACCAAATTTCATGGTGGTACCTGAAACAGGATTCGGGGGGCTGAATTTTTTTTCCCCGAATCTGGAGGATGTGTGTGTCTGCGAAGGCCACCCGGAACCAACCAAAATGAGCCCAAAATGGTGTGTTCAAAGCAAAATGGCCGACTTCCTTTTTTTCGCTGGGCATTGATTCTTGAGATTTTTTGCGGGTCGACTCCGGATGGCTGTGCCTACCAATGTTGCTTCGTCAGAATGGCCTCTTTCTTTTTCTTTCATTTAAAATGTTTTTTACTGCATTTATTTATTTTAATTTTTTTGCCCGCCATTGCCATTTCTCAACCGTGTGTGTGTCTGTGTGCGCGTGCAGGGAGGAAGTGCGCGAGAACTGCGTGCGATGGGGCAAGAGGTTCTCCTTCGTGTCCAAGATGAGCGCAAACCCGCACACGGGCGTGCTGGACCCGTCCGTCTGCCGGGTGTCTGTCAGGAAGGTAAATAAAGGACACAAAATGGCCGCCCTGTAAATTGAACACCTGTCATTTCATTTCCATCAGCCTGACGACTGAGATGACTTAAAAATGTGTGTAAAAGTCTTGGACGCCCGATAGGACGATGCGGTATTGTGCAATCTTCCTTTTTGACGGGTTCTGTGCGGGTTCTCTGTTGTATGACTGCTGGATCATCCGTTACGATCAGTTGGCTTTGAGAATCAGCCCCTTCGCGTCCCTGTATGGCAATGACCAATCCTAGCAGCGGTGACGGAGGCCGCCAGCGCGAAAGAGGCTGCAGATTGGGAAGGTATAAATTAGGATCGTTCGCTGAACGCGTCCTTCTTCCTGTTATTTTTCCTGCAGGAGCTGAAAGGCGGGAAAGCTTACACGAAGGTAAGAGACTCACTGCCGGCGGCCGAGCCCCAAATACAGAAAGAAAGCGTTTGTCCGCCATCCTGCCGACACCTCCGACGCTCGGAGCGCCGTGTGTCGTTTCCTGTAAATGGCTAAATTTAGCCCACTTCCCTCCTCGGAACGAGGCCCCCTCGCGCGCACCTCGAAGAAAAACAGAAGCTGCCGGGAAAAACCAGGCAACATCACAGAGAATAAAGAATGGCGACCTCTTGCTCGGGAGTCCTGCCAAGGTCAACAAAACAATGTGACTGCTGATTTTAGGGAGTGCGGATTTCAGATCACTTCTTGCGTGAATTTAGATTGTAAAAATCGTGCCGACGCCAATTACGATCACAAAATTTTGAGTGTGAATCTGCATTCTGGAATTAGTATTTTTTTTTTTTTTTGAAGTGCACAAACTTGTACAGTATATGCAAATTTGGATCTTAAAAAAAAGGTTTCAGTGCAAACTTAGATCGCAATAAACTCTTCCATATGACTTTGCATAACAAAATAAAGTCAGCCAAATGTACATCGAAATAAACTTGTTATTGTGCATTTGGATAACAAAAATTGCAAGGGGCAATTCACATCACAAAATATCGTGTGTGAACTCGGAGAAGAAAAATCTTGGGAATGCAGAATGACTTCACCGAAACCTTGTGAACGCAAAACATGCCAGTGTTAATTCAAAAAAAACTCCAAATCTCCAATTTAGATCACAGTCTGAGTGTGATTATAGATCACAAAAAGCAGACAACAAAAATTGTGCCTGTACCAATTTAGAACAAAATCAAATCACAAAAACCTTGTGCAGACTACATTTTAAAAAAAATAGTTAAAAAAAAAAAGTAGCAAAACCTTCTAATCACAAATTAGTGTCACAAAAAGAGTGAGTGCAAACTACCGGTAAGTGCAAATTTGGAGAACAAAAAAAATGCATGGGCTTCAATTTAGATGAGAAGAAAAAACAAGCTTTAAAGTAGAAGGAGGCCAGAAAAGGTGGCAGCTGGTGAGATTTGGTCAGTGCTAGTCAGTCCTGGCTTAATGGATGCTGTTGAGGACCCTGCGGCGCGCGCTAAATCCTTGTGACGCGACTCCCCAGCTGGGCTTCGCGGACTTGAACATGGCGGAGTTTGCTGGCTCGGGTTCCACCGCGCGCTGCTGCCTGCTGGAGGGCTACGACACCAAGAACACGCGGCAGGACAATTCCATTCTCAAGGTTGGCGTCGTCCCGCGTCCGCCGCCGTCTCGGAGCTGTTGGTTCCGCGGCAAAACCGTTTTTTTGTGGGTTTTGTGTTTTTGAAAGGTGATCATCGGGATGACCCTCCTGTCTGGAGACCCCTGTTTTAAAACGTGAGTAGTAGTAATAGAAATAATAAAATTATTTATGAAGATCCGACTTAATTCTCATGACATAACAACCGCTTATACTGAATAGTGTTGTTTTGTGTGCGTGCGCGTGTGTTTTTTTTCCCTTCTTTCAGTCCGGCCAGCACGGCCAAGAGCATCTCCGTCCCGGGACGTGAGCACACCCTGCAGCCCGACTGCAAGGGGGAGGGAACCAAGGCGGAGCCCGGGCCGCCCGGAGGGATTTCTCTGGGCCGAACGCCCAAACATCGACCCTCCATCGTTAGCTCAGGTGCACGCTCGAGATTCAACAAACATTTCTCTGCTCGAGTGTATTTCTCGAGCACTTTTTTAAGACAACCACCCCTGTATACAAAGTGCTATACATGGAGCAAAAATCATTCAGACAACAACAAACAATCAAACAATGAAAAATGACGACCGTAGAAAGCCCCAAAATAGTCCAACTCAAAAGCAAGTGTCATGCTGCCAAAGGCGAGGTTTAACGATGGGCAGCGAGGGAGCTTGCCGAACGTCGATTCCAAAGGGAAAGGCTCCATCCCTTCCGAGTCTCTACTTCGGTCTCGCTACCTCTCAAAGTGTCTGGTCTGCAGAGCTGAGGCGGCGCGCAGGTGCGGTGGAGCTCAAGAGAGGTAAGGGGGGGGCCAGGCCCTTTCAAGATTGGAAGACAAATAAGAAAATCTTCCAAAGAAGTCTAAAATGCAGAAGGAGCCAGTGAAGGGATGCCAGACTCGGAGTGACAGTATGTGCTCCCTCTTACCAGTACCAGTCGAGAGACGAGCGGCAGCATTCTGGACCCACTGGAGACGCGTCATGGAGGATTGGCAGACTCCAAAGTCAAGTTCCAGTCATCCAGAGCGGGGATGTGACCGCATTTTTGTCCTTTGCTTGCGGCCAGGTCTTCTGGAAGACGCCGAAAGTAACCCGTGTGCTCCCGGAGAACTTTTCCAATCGGGCCATTCTCGCAACTCCAGCTACGCCAGCCAGCACAGCAAGATCTCTGGTTGGTTTTCCTTCCCGCACAGTAATGGAGCTTTTGCTGAGCGTTGAGCTTGATATTAGCCCTTTCGTGTCCCGCAGGCTACAGCACGGAGCACTCTCGCTCCTCCAGCCTGTCGGACTTGACGCACCGCAGGAACACCTCCACCGGCAGCAGCGCCTCGGGGGGGGTGGGGAG